ACAAAACTGGTCCAATTAATTGGACTGAATTTTGGAATAAAGAAAAAAAAAATGGATATAATAGTTTCAAACATAAAAATATATTCAAACAATTTGCAAAAGTTCATTTAGCTTGTCAAAATGTTAATATCATTTGGTTTGGTCTGATAAAATTGGTTGGTCTGATAAGTCAAAACTAATCAAACATTGATTTTAACTGATATTTTTACTGAATTAAACTAGCAAAGTCACCAATCTGCAGTCTAACCAGTCAGACAACTGCTTCAATCTGGTCTTGATATGTGTGCTCTATATCAGAAAATAGATTTCATAAAGAACAAATATGCCTTGAGTAGTCAAGAAGGCAGTACCCTTTTGGGCCAACCGGTTCTCTTCCCCACTAGGCCATTAAACATGTGGTTATGTTTCATATGTAGGCCCTGGACATCTTTTATGTTTGACTTTTTAAGGGTTGACCCTTGAAAAACCCTTGCTTTTCCTCTGTTTGTGGATCATGATGTCCTACTATGGCTAGACAAGCACACAAGGGGCCCTAGACCTTTGTTTCTCTCACCACTTAATAAGTTTTGAGGACCCAACATGAGAATCTCTAGATCTAGGTTAGGTTACCCAACAATTGGACTGGGCTCAAACGTCTATCTTGCGGTTGGAGATGGTGGTGGTTCCGTCACTATTTCTTTGGTTTTGTGGATCCAGAATAAAAATCTCTAGATCTATTTTGCCCACCACTCCGACAAGATTCAAACATATTATTTTGATTTGGGAACCGTCACAAGATTACCTCGACTTTCTATGATTGAAGGATGAGGTTTTGATAAGGCCGCGATGTCATGCAGTCACACTTCAAAACCCTGCCAAAAAAAAAATAAAGATCCGGCCCTAGAAATCAATAGTACGGTTTGCAAATCCATTTCTGCTTTTTGAATGTGGAATTTGACAGCTCCAAAAATGATGCACATTTGGGAGTTTAAACTTGGAACTATGATGCACATTTGGGAGTTTAAAGTTGAAACTAGCAGTGTCTGTAGAAAGTGTCATCATTTTTACGGTTTGAAATCAACTTTTTTTTTTCCACATCTTTGTTGGTCAAGGTGGATATGACAAATTTACGAAGTTCTTAGTGGCTGGATTCTTTTTTCGGGTGAGATTTGTCTTGACGGAATATTTTTCCGAACTAGAATCTCTAGATCAAGTTTGTGCACCAATTTGTGTGGATTTTAAACATGTTACCTTAGGAAATGTCAAATGGCTTCTAGTGAAACCTAGAACATTATATAAGGACCATATGCTTTATCTAGCACATCGATTATGCTGGAAATTAGATTTTTGTATATTTAGGCCTTAAGCTTCTATAAAAGATGTATTTCAGGGCCTATAGAAGATGTGAACAAGCGCCCAATTTATAGGCTTACAAAGCTGTGATTACTAAAGGAAGTAATCATATATAATGAACCACCTTTCTAATATGGGTATACATAAAAAAAAAGAAAATATTGTATCAAAAAATAAGTACACGTTTCTATAATGTCCATACTCCCCCTCAAACTCTATTGAGTTTAGAGAGAGCAACTTGAGTTTGGACAACTGAAGGCAGACCTTAGAAACCAAGTATGAGCATAAGAAGCTTGAGCATCTGCAAATTAACGATCCTCAGAAACTGATGCCCCGAACAGAGCAGTCTTGCATAACAACACTTCAACAAGTGTCCAGAACACACATGATGGAGTAACGAAAAACTCTATCATCCAATAGGATTGAATAATGGAAAACTTAATCATTAAACATGATTGAATAACATAAAACTTGATCATCAAACATGATCAAAATATTCAATCATCAAATAGGAGGCCCTTGGAAGAGTCAACAGAAATCAACAGTGGATAATCAAGCATAGTAGGACTTAATATTTAGAGTTGAGAACAGTAAGATTCAAAACTGATTAAAGAGTCGAAACACAATTCGTTAGAGAGACAGATAAGAGAGTCGAAACACGACCCAATAGAGAAACAGATCAGAGAGGTGAAACACTACTCAACAGAGACAAATCAGATAGTTGAAACACGAGTTGGTAATTGTTTTGCACATGGTGCAAATCGGCCGTTTTCATAGGCCATTTTCAGAGGTGGATTTAGAGCGGATTTCAAATTCGGAGTTCATAGTAGTAATATAAAGAGAACATAAATAGATCCTCTAAAACACCCAACATTGTACCAACCATTACATCATAACAAAATGCCGTCCCAATAGAATCCGAAGGATACAACCAACCTTGCAACCGACCACAATGCAACAACCCATGAAACCCAAAACCACACTATAAACGGATCATCCAATCACATTTGCAAGGTGAATAGAGAAAGAAAACTCAAAGGCATCTCCAAACCCAACATATAACAAGAGAGAGAAAGCATAAGAGGCAAAGACCTACGGGAGAAGATAACTAACAATGACCAAAAAATTGATGGGTTACGTAATTTGAAGAACTATTGGCAAAGGACTTTGGTCATGCATGAAAACAAACCTCAAAGCTTGTTTTGATACCATGTAAGAAATTGTAATTTTATATATTTGGGCCTTAAACCCCATGAAAAATGTATTTCTTCTTATAAAAGATGTGAACAAGAGTTCAATTTGTAGGGTTATAAAGTTGTGTACTACTAAAGAAAATAACATATGCAATAAACCACCTTTCTAATATGAGTACACATAAAAAGAAAGAAAATATTGTTTCAAAACATAAATAATAGTTTCTATAATTTCCACAACTTCTAATAACTTAGGTACCATACATCATGATCCTCTAGTCAATATTCCCCCAGCCCCACTTGGGTTTAAGGACCCAACACGAGAACATGAATATCTAGTTTCACCATCAACTTGCTTAGGGTCAAACAAGAAATCTTGAGATAAGAATTGCTTGTACTGATACAGGTATATTCTTGGGGCTTAGGGACTCTATACAAGGGACCTTAAGCCTTGTTTTCCCCATCACTTTTGAGGCTTAAGGACCCTACATTGGGACCCTAAACTAGGACCCACCACCACTTCTAGGGTCTAAGGACCCAGCAAAAAATTTCCTAGATTTAGCTTCTCCACTAGGTGCATTGCCGCTGGACATGTTATCTTGGCAGCATGTCTTTTTTAATGAAAAAATAATAATTGCAAAAGGCCCCCAATATTGCCCATTAAGGCATGTTCCATTCTTGAGGCTAGAATAGGCATTACATGTTAGCCCCGTACAGATTTTTACTGAAAGAGATGGCTGCTATCCAAAGGGAAGATTATTATAAAGAAATAGGTTGAAATATGAGATTCAACCTAATTTGAAACTTTATCTTATTTGTTTAGGTTGTTTATTCATTTATTTTGTTATAGATTCATGTATTTATTTTGAATACATGACAAAGGGGTCCGGATTGGGGACTATAATTGAACTTATGCCGGAAAATGTTCCCTATATAGTAACACATTGATAAGCACACCACGAGGTCATGAAAACATGAATGTAATTATCCTTTCTGTCACCCTCATGGGCCATCATTGCTGGAATTTTTGAGTGAGAGAGTCCAACCCATAAGAACTCATAAGAAAAGAAGGGAATGAGAGAGAAATCCTAACCCATTAAAACCCATAAGAGGAGGGGATCTCTTCTCATTTTTTGTCATTTCAAAACCAGTGGAGATCAGAGTTACCTTGTGCCCTCTCACTTCCCCAGTGAATGTGAGGTAGGAGTCTTAGCTTAGTGCTTAGAGCACAAGAGGTCGGCACCTAAAATCCCAGCTTACACACTCAAAAGGAACAAAAAAGCGATGATGGTAGCAATTCAGTACACCCAACATCAAAATTGCATCTGCTTTTAGTTCCACTGCAACCCACCATCTCACTCCCTTTCCGTGAAAGGGATTGCAGAAACAAAAGGCTTACAAGCCAAATCTCAGGACATCAATGTGCCCGCAATCGAGTCAGTCATGGAAGTTTGAAATGTACGCTCATAAGTCAACCCGCATTATTCGATTGACATTTGCTGGTCCCAACTAGTTCATCACATTCAAGAATAAAAAAAACGTAACTGACATACTTTCGACACAAGTCTAAAATTTGGATATAAACTATGTTTTAATTGAGGTTCGGGTAAGGCTGTGGCTTTTACAAATTAAGGAAGGACGCACCTCAAAACCGGATCGAAAACAAGAATGGTACTAAGATCAAGAGCGGGAATGGTATCAAGATCAGGAGCGAGGGATCGTGAAATGACTGAAGATCCCTAGAGTTGGGAACACCATTCAGGGATCGAGATCCTCATATGTTAGGGATCAAGATTCCAACTTTTTTGAGATCTTGATCCCAATTTTTTGAGGATCTTGATACCAACCGTAAAGTGTATTATAATCAAAGATTATGTATATTCTCTAAAATAAGAATCTCATTATTTATATCAAGCAAGCAATATTTTTGTTACTAGTTGACCATAAACAAAAAAAATCATCAGTTTTTTTGTTGTTTTAGTCTTTTAAGGTTGGGATCCAAATCCCTAACAGCAAAAATCGAGATCCTTTTCTATGAGGTACAAGATCCCAAAATTTAAAATTTGAAATCCTTTAGAGATCCGTTTCGGGAACAACAAATTCGAGATTCTAGAAGGGATCGCCTACCAAAGTAGGAGATCCCAGTAACTATGCTCAAAACCTTATAGGCAAAACCAAACGCACTGGGAAATCCCTATGATTGGCCTATATATCCATTTCAGTCCCTAATTGTAGAATTTAAAGGAACGAAAATGATCAAGTAAAGAAATGGACAATTAAGCTGCATAATTGAAATCCATCAATCCATCTTCTTTAGATCCTTGATTGTCGAGATGAAGACAATCCATTTACATGTTTTCTGGTATCGATACTTTGTTTTTCAACCATATTGAGGCGTGGCCCTATAAAGCCACGGCTATACGAAATACTTTTCCTTTAGATACTATATATTTTGCTCAATTTGAGGGGCAGACCAACCAAACAAAGTGGGTTGAACGGCGACTCCAGCTTGGTTTTGACAATGTTGAAGGATAAAGAAAAATGAGGCCAAAACACTAAAATAAGAACCAAGAAATAGCGCTGCACACACGAAGCTATAGCACAAATCTCTTAATTGATCCCCCAAGAATACATGATAAATGACTTAGAAATGGATGGCCAAATGGGAGAGAATCCCTTACTCCCAAAAATCTGATGTGGTGGTTATGTCCATCACTTCTTGTGGTTTTAAGTGAAATTACAGGTCGTATCTCACATTCCATTTACCATTACCATCCGCATTGAGGGTCCAATTGTTCTCCCTTATCTGGAAATAAGGTACCTACAATGGGAAAGGCACCCGTTTAGCATAAAACAGAAACATAAGGAATTATTATACATGAGACAATTGTGGCACATGGAAGATTCAACATATTATTGGAATCAATGCAGTGTTTTGTAAAGTTATCTGCAATATGGATTTGTAATATCAAGTAATTGTACTGAATGTTCTGTAATATCCTCAGCCATGAATACAAGGAGGCTAAAGATATGAGGGACGAAAAGCAAGCAGTGTGCAGAGAGAGAGAGAGAGAGAGAGGCAGGAGTGAAAATAGAGACTGATAAAAATTTAGTGGTAGTTGAGGTTTACGATTCCCTAGGCAAGATCTCGGGAGAATATCCATTCAAGAATCGTGAACTACCCCATTATCATCATAAAAAAGGAGTGTATAGCATACACCATGTGTACACTGCAGCACATCCATTTCTTGAATGGATGATGGGTACACTACCAGTGCGGTGCAGCTTTTATCCTTATAGAAAGATGAATGTATAGTAGAAATTTACTGAAAATAATGGAAAATGAAAGAAAACACAAAAAAAAAGTATAAACATAAGAGAATACAATCTAATTAAGAAACTATATACAGAAAGTACAAAATTCTTAATAAGCATGCTTTGTTATAAACGCGCACACACAAACAAGGATAACCCCATGTTGTATTTTTGCCAATCCATAGCATACTGCACAATCCCCCTAATGGAAAAACCGTGCTCCTGATGCAAAGAGGGTTTCCACATTAACTTGAGCAAATTCCCAAGAAAATGTAAATTTTGGCAATGACAACAAGATAAATTCTGAGGTCAATCGAAGTAATAATGAACAACTTCCATACAAAATAATGCGTGTATAAATTTGCTAACCTTTTCAGAAATATTATAACCAAGTCTCAACCTTAAATCTTGGTCTTTAAAATTTAGTATCTTCCAAGTCAATTCAATTGCTCCTCTTGTCTTTCTCTGCATAAATTTAATTAAAAGCATTAGAGAATACCATCACTTCCATCATGAAACAATTGAATGATGGGGTGTTAAGGTATAACGAAATTTCACGGGGAAGAATATTGAATAATCCATTGATTAGGAAATTATAGAGGAAGTCCTACAAACCAAACTTCAATGGCTTTGCCCTAGTTAAACCAGAAAAAAGTTATCAAAACTCAATTATCTATTCCAAATTCTCTACACAGACCCCTATTTATAATAAAAGACCTTACTTAGAGCCCAAAAAATCCTAATTCTAATTGAAATAGAAGTCCTTATTAAAATAAATTTTGTAATGATATTTTTATCCCTAATAAGACAAAATATTTCATAAAGCATTCTAGCTACTTCTCTTAACTCCTAACATCCTTTTAAAAAAAAAAAAGGTTAGAATCCTATAAAACTTAAAAACCGTAAAAAGACAACCCCTAGAAAATTCCATTCCAAACATACATCCCTAAAATTTAATAAGAAAAATTCAAAATTAGGAAGCATCTTATCCTGCATCATATACCCCTGGTTGGAGAAAACTCGTTCTCGAGTTTTAAAGTAGGCTGAGATGAAATTTGCATTAGTCGCACAACTTTCTTCAACCCGAATATTATGCTTTGAATCCTTGGACCTGTGGGTTATTGGCCCAATCAAAATACAACAATTATGTATTGAAATAGAGTTTTTACAATCAGTTGATATATTCATAAACACGTTTAAAAAACCCTCAAAGAAAGGGTCATTATATGTTGATGAAATAATCATGATATACATGCTTAGTTCAGTCACATAAACTAGTTGAAATTGCTACAATACAGCCATATAACTCTGCTAAAATTGCCATGGTTCAGCCCTAGAACATACGACTGTGAATGTTCGAGATGAGCACCAAATTCAGTAGTAAAACCAACAACTTCACCTATTGACTTTCCTCAGTGTCATCTTTTTCTTGGTCAAAGATCAGTTCAACCATGAAATCTTGTTCATCATCATAGATCGTATCTTCCACAAGATCTTGTTCTTCATCTAAGTACGTGTCGATGATTGGTGGTGAATCCGAATCTACAATCTATTGATTTTGGAAACAACTTGATGAAAATAAAGGTTCTTCGTGGTCAATGTCCTCAATATCATGAACCAAATTGTACTCACACGCAATGAGGTTACCTCTCCCTTGGCTGTGAGTCAAATTATGTTCGCCAAAATTAGGAAATGTCTAACTTCATATCGAAAACCATAGAGTGATATCTCCCAAGTCTAGGTCTTCTATCAATTTCCTTTGCACTCTACTCCACATGGAGCACAACAGATGGAAGGGTTATACTTCACATCTTCTTGGGCAGAAAGATCACCATCTTGCCCATGAGTGATGCCCACAAGTTGTGCAAGTTGTTCAACTGGTCTCCTGAGATCTGCAATTTCTTCTTCTCCGGTATCATGGGTTAGATCCACAAGAGCTCTTCCTCAACTCTTCTCACTACCATGGATTCATTGAAATCATTCCAGGCAGAAATTAGCAGACCCTAGGTTGCAATCACAAACCCTACGCTTAATAAAAATTTCTTCCTTTGCCAATCACAAATCCTCATATTGATACCAATTGATTCAGAAAGAAATTTCTCAAGGAAGAAAAATGAATGATCTATTGATTAGAAAATTAAATAGGAAGCTTTACAAGTCGGGCTTCAATTGCTCTGCATTGGTTTAACAACAAAAAAGATATCAAAACTCAATTATCTGTTCTAAATTATCTACATAGAGCCCTTAAAAGATCCCTATTTATAATAAAAGACCCTACTTAGAGCCTAGAAAAATCCTGATTCTAATTGAATAGAAGTTCTACGTAAATAAAATTCATAATGACATTTTAACCATTAATAAAATAAAATATTCCATAAGCGTTATAAATACTTTTTTTAAACAGCTCCTAAAATATTAAAAATATTAAAAAAACCTTAGAATCCTAAAAGAACTTAAAAACCCTTAAAAGACAACCTTACAAAATTTAGAATACAAAAATTCAAAAATAATTGGCATCTTCTCTTGCATCAGGAGTTATGAAAGATATATAAGTTAATTTAAAGATCAAAATAATACATAGAAATACCAAAAGATTAGAAAGGAAAGCAATAAATTTAATCGAGGATAACATGATCAAATAATACATAGAAGTACCAAAAGATTAGAAAGGAAAGCAATAAATTTAATCAAGGATAAAATGTCCAAAATGAAATCCGAAAATGTAATCAAAGGGACTCAAAAATCTCATGCTCAGAAATCAAATTGAATCGAAAGGATTTCAAACATTGACAAGAAGTACCAACCTCTGTCAAATCTTTGTCAGCATCATAGCGCCCCTTTATATCCAAACTCAGCATTCCACTAGACGTGATTGGCCGTCCTGCCCTTCCACGTACATTATATGCGAGTTTCTCACCTGCACCATATCTGACTCCAAACCCCACACGTGTATCTGCTAACTGTAATACAAATCAATAATCTTTTGGGTAGTCATGGGTATATGAATTATTAATTTATATAATCTGCAAACAATAGAAATTATACTTTGACTATGGGAAAACAATGAACAGTAATCGAGACCCTCTCTCTCTCTCTCTCCCCTTTTCCATTTCAATGCATTGTGATGACACCAATGTACTATGGTTTCTCCAATCAATTGTGTTATAATACACTTTACCCTTGCTACAATTGCTTGCAGAATTATCATTATATGTGAATTCATAAAATATCAAATATTTTTGGAGTCTACCTCTGACAAAAGGTCTCTAGTTATCCGAGCCAAACAAGTCGGATTTCCAGTTTTGGTATCAACAATCCCATGAACCTGTAACACATCATGGCAACAACAAACACAAGAATGAAAATATTAGCCTCAATATTTAGTGCTCTTACATGAACGTGTTATGTGGCTCATTGAGAAGGCATAAATAGAAACTTTGATAACCATCAAATGGAATAATAGGCTCAATACAAATGTTATCAGACAAATACAAATAGGCAAATGCAAATGCATATACCAGGAATAGATACAATACCTTTTCACAATAATTGATGCAAATTAATCGCCAAAGAATCATTCCAATGGATAGCAGGGTGTTAATTATTTCTTTGTGATTCTATATGGAACCACACTTGCTTTTCAATCATACTCATATGAGTAAATTACATTTAAAAGACAATGTTTTGGAAATGTGAAAGAAAACCCAATATATGCACAAGGATCTACTGTTTCTCAATGTCCTTGATCTAAATCCGACTTTGGGGGTCTACACCCTCACTAACTCGAGACAAACTGGAAATTGGCGAGAAAATGGAACAAGTCACCAATTTTTCAATGCAGGCATGGAAAAATTCAATTGGGTCAGTTCAAAGGATGTCTTTCTGTGTCCAGCGAAATCCTAACAGCGGATCTACCTGTCTAGTAAGGGGGATGTCGGTTGATCCTCTTGGTGGGAAGGGAGCTAGCAACTTCCAACTAATCACCAACCTTATTGATCAAAGAGATAAGAGAGCACGACAGAACGATTCAAAATCATGCCACGCTTTCTCTCGCCAGAAGACACAGCTTAAGCCGCACTTTTTCTCTCTAGAAGACGAGGCTGATGCACCACTTTGTCTCTCTAGAGGACGGGGCTCACCCCTTACTTTCTTTCTCGAGAAGACAAGGCCAACATCCCCGCTTTCTCTCTCCAGAAGAGGGGTTCATGCGCCTTTTTTTCTCCCTAGAGGATGGGTCCCATGCCCCACTTTCTCTCTTGAAGAGGGGGCTCACACACCACACCCAAACCCACTCTCTAACTTGGAGTTCGCTTGCTACATTGGGGGCCCATGCTCCATGCGCCTCTCTAACTTGGGGTTCACTCCCTTCAATTGGAAACCCATGCTCCACACTCTCTATCTAGAAGAGGGAGCCCACATACGCTAAGATAGAGAGAGTCCCTTCTCCCCCATTGAGTTTTGATCAGTGCTGGAAAAATCGAACCGGAATGGTTACCCGGACATGGGGCCGGAAGCGGCTCAACCAGCCAAACCGATAAACTGCCCGATTCAATCGGCCTAACCGAGCAAGTCCCGAGCGATAAAACAAGTGTTAGAAAAATAAAAAAAATACAAAAGAAAATCTAATAAAATATAAAAATATATTTAAAATATGATTAAACAAAGCACATCCAAATTAAGTTGAAAATTAATTACAAAAAATGGATTTTAAAGAATTGATTTGTGCTCAAGATATTTTTGAAATTTTCAAAAAAAGATAGAAAATGTGAAAATAAGTATTAATAGCCAAAACAATTTCCAATCTTTGCCAAAAATGATGAAAATCATTAAAAAAATGCATTACAAACAAAATCCCTTATTTTTTTGAGATTTTACATACACTTTATTTTATTTTTCTTTTTAAAATACGATAAATTTTATTTTATTTTTCTTGTTAAAATACGCAGCAGGTTCACCAAAACTAGCAGAAACCGGAATTGGCCAGTTCCGATTTAACCGGGTGGTTAGAATTTTAACTGCTCAATTTTTCCTACACTGGTTTTGATGCCTTCAGGGCCCAGTCCTCCTAGAAATCTTTTGACGTACCATGGGACCACTGCCCTCTTTTTGGCTGGTACATGACTATGGAAGTCCTTAAAAGACTTAATAATGGTGGAACCATTTTCTGCAAGTATGGTCCCCACCGTGGAGCGTTCTCCAACTTTGACCCTCACAAGACTATATAAAGGAGGGAGTATTTTCTAGCAGCATATTTCTTATGGGCCTCACTCACCAATAAGAGAAGAGATAGAAGAATAAGACACTCATTTAAAAACAACGAGAAAAACAAGGCACATTATCTTATCCAAAAGAGACGTTCTTTTCTCATGGGTCAACTAAAAGACAGAATGTGAGCCAATCACACACCAATTATAAGAGAGGAGGGCCAATGAGGAGACCACATCTCTAAAGACCACATGGGCCCTCCCACTCACCACTGGTATAAGGATGCAGCACATCTTCCTTCTCGTTTCTCTATTTCTCACTCTTCTCCTTCTTCGACCTCTATCTTTCTTCTCTACCTTCTTTTTTGCTTTGTCATCCTTGGGCCTAAACCCTAGGAGAGCTCCTATGCTACGGCCAAGAATCAAGCCTTTTCTCCCTCACATGCATCCTTAGATCCAGTCGAAAATGGCTCAGGAGCAACAAAAATTTACCCCACTCTGAGGGGAGGGGACTTTCCATTTTTATGAAAATAATGAGTTATATCTCTCTGCAATCTACATTTCTTCTAATTATTTCCTCAGACCTCAAAACGTTCTTGCAAAGCATTCAAGAACCTAAAGGACACATATCTTCCTTGGGTAACAGAAATCGACGGCTATAAATCCATTTGACATATAAAAATCTGGTATTATTACACAAGGAATGTGTAAAACCTTAGACTCGAGTGAAGTTCAAATGGAGTCTCAGCGAACACAATATCTATAGTGTTCTAAACCATACTTAACGGGAGCAGAGAATGGTTCTGGGGTTGGGAGCGGGAACGTCGAATCAAAGGGTGTTTGAAGCTACGGCACTTTCAAATCGCACTCCATAGACGGTATCTAGCCCAGAGCTAGATCCCATATATAAACAACTTCAGTCCCAACGCTCATGGGATCTGGATCCCATATTTCAAGGGCCACCTTTCCCACTTATCATGGAATCTCAATCCCAAACACCTAGTGACCGTGATCCATATAAATTGGGTCCTCAATCCATAAATATAAAGGATTGCAGTCCCAATGCTCAGGGAAAGTAGTACCTGGTGCGCAACAAACAGGGTTCCATTTTCCAATTGTGTTAAATGCTTTAATTATTTTGATTATCGATATGGTTTATACATTTTAAAACTCTTGTAGCAATCTAGGTAATTTAATTCTTGATGTTTGGGATCAATACATGATGAGGATGGAGATCCACAAATATAGGGAGGGAAGAGATCGCGATCCCAACATGATAGGGATCAAGATCCACAAATAGAGGGATCATGCACCATGATTGGGGGGGACCCAAGTCCCTGTGAATAAGGAATCGAAATTCTGTGGAAAAGGCATGAGCTCCTTAGAAAAAAAATCTCCTTTGAAAAAAAATGAGTTTCGGTGAAGATCCCAGCTTCGGAGCTTGGGATCTGGATTACGAAGCCGGAACCATGCCCTCTAGGGGCACTCCTGGTAACTATGTTTTATACATTGTACAAAAAATATTAATTAAAGAAAATGAATGCTCATGACATCGGACTTTCTCTATATACCTATGCAACCATATATTCCATACATAATAAACAATTGGATATTCTATATTCATTACAGCTGAATATTAATCATCATTTTATTTACTGCATGACATTTCTATCATCATCATCCGAGCCCTATCCCAACTACTTGGCATCGGCTACATAAACCATGTTCTATCATTCTACTCTATCAAGGACCATACCCATAGTTATGCCATTAATCACCATATTTTTTCTCACTTCTTCCATGCGTGTCTTTTTGGGACTTCCCCTTGTCCTTTTAGAGCCTTTCACTTGAACCAAATCATGCCTCCTAATGAGCACTGTTATAGGTTGACGTTGCACATGATCAAACCACTTAAGTTTACTTTTCCTCATCTAATCGGCTATTGAAGCCAACCCTAAGTTCCCTCGGTTGTATTCATTCCAAATTCAATTCATGCATGTCTTGCCACGCATCCATCTCAACATCCTCATCTCGGCAACACTCATTCTATAGATATGTTGTTTTTTGACCGCCCAACATTCTGTCAATAAAACATTGTTGGCATTGAAACCGTCCTATAGAACTTCCCCTTCAGCTTCATTGGAATGCGACGATCACATAGGGCTCCAAAGCACATATCCACTTTGTCCACGCATCTCTAATTCTATTGGCAAACTGAATAACATTCTTATAGTTCGTCATATTTAACATATAATGCAATGCATAAACATTCATTTTTGCAAACTAGCTTTTATCAGTTATGACGAGAAATCATGAACATAAATACATAGCATACTTCTATAGATCAATAGATAATTATATACAAGGATGAGGTTCCTTCTTCTAGATCTTGGCCTAATGGAGTGTGCCATGTAAGAGTAATGATTAAATGCCTGTGCTATATTTGTAAACAGACCATCATTTACCCCTCGGAAGCAACTTCCATATCAAAGAATATGAGCTATGAGATTTGAGGGTAGTTTACAAAGAAAAATGTATTGTGTATGGACTTTGTCATATTTAACTAAAGGTACTTTTACAGCTCGCTACCTATCCCAATTGAATTAATCAAGCATCCAGAAGGACAGATAGAGAGTACAATATGCAATCCCTCAAGATCATGTGTTCTCACTCTTATAATATTCATTTCTTCAATATATTCATTTCTTATAATATTCATTTCTTCAATATATTCTTAGTTGCCTAACTTGACACCCCGAGAATTAGGATGGTTTTCTAGAATTGAACAAATAACTACCTTGTCTGGGTCATCCAATTGGTCTTAGATGTGTTGGCTATGAAAAGATGAGAACTGCATGAGATGTACACCATCTTAGTGCATTATATAATTGCTGCTCCACACTGTAAACCTGGAATCTATTCGCTCATCACATGTTTATGTCGTTAAATGTTAAAGATAATAAAAAATCCGATTTTGAGAAAGTGATGTCCAATTTTCAATTAGAAAATTGAATCAGAAACTGCTGTCAGAAAAATCTCTTTATTCTTTAATATATTAACAAACACTAACTTCACCAGGAGAGAAGCTTCCTTCCACAATTTTCCTTTCCTTTGATATTCC